GCCACAACGCCCGGCTATTTTTTGGTTGCAGCCATCATTGTTGTTTGGTGGGTCCGGGCTGGGGATTCGAACCCGCCACCTTAGGTGTACGTGGCTGGTGCCTTAGCCGGTTGAGCTATAGGAGCCAAGCCAGCATGCACTATTCTTGTGAATGCAGCAATAAAGCCCTAGTGAGAAATGTCTAGAGATCTACTTCACAGCAACATGAAGACACTTAACACTACTGAGCCATATACTTAAAAATGGTTAAGATGGTAAATTTAATGTTATGTGTTTTTACGATAATGAAAAAAGGTTATAAAATATAACATTTTAAAAAACATATATAAACATATAAAACATAACCTAAGATAAAAGATTTAATTAATTAATTTATTTATTTAGAGACAGAGTCTCACTTTCTTGCCCTCGGTAGAGTGCTGTGGCATCACAGCTCACAGCAACCTCCAGTTCCTGGGCTTAGATGATTCTCCTGCCTCAGCCTCCCAAGCAGCTGTCCCGAGCAGCTGGGGCTACAGGTGCTCACCACGAGACCCAGCTATTTGTTTGTTGCAGTTTGGCCTGCGCCAAGTTTGAACCCACCACCCTTGGTATATGGGGCTGGCGCCCAACTCACTGAGCCACAGGCACTACCCTATTTTATTTATTTATTTTTTTGGCCAAGGCTGGGTTTGAACCCATCACCTCTGGCATATGCGTCCAGTGCTCTACTCCTTTGAGCCACAGGGGCCACCCATTTTTTTTTTTTTTTGAGACAGAGTCTCACTATGTTGCCTTTGGTAGAGTGCCATGGCGTCACAGCTCACAGCAACCTCAAACTTCTGGGCTTAAGCAATCCTCTTGCTTCAGCCTCCCGAGTAGCTGGGACTACAGGTGCCCACCACATGCCTGGCTATTTTTTGGTTGCAGTTGTCATTGTTGTTTAGCAGGCCAGGGCTGGGCTCAAACCTGCTAGCTTTGATGTATATGGCCAGTGCCCTACTCACCGAGCTACAGGTGCCAAGCCAAGATAAAAGTTTTAAAACATAGAATTTTAATATAATTAAGATATATACTTTCAACTCTAGA